TTTTTATTTATTACATTTATTTATTGTGTGTGTGTGTGGCCAGCTCAGCCCACCAGGGGGCGGGTCTGGCTGGCATGTGGTGCTGGGGATCGAACCGTGGTCCCTCTGCTTTGCCAAGCTTGTTTCAAGTAGGTGCTTTAGACCACTGAGCCATCTCTCCAGCCCCCAGATTATATTTTTTCATGTTAAGATTTATGATGTTCTGGTCTTTAAATTTTTGAAAAAGGCTATGCAAATCTATATACACAAAAACAGGATGTTAAACTGTGGTCTTTTGTCATTTTATTGTAAGCTTATAGAAACTTAAGGGTGGCTTAGTGTATTGAGTATGTAGTTTTGGGGAACTGTGTTGAAGTGTAATTCTTATATAAAAATACATTTTTTAAATATATTTTCATGGGCATTGGACTTTATTGTATTTGAATTGACTTTCCAGATATTCAGAGGTAATAAAATTCAGTAAATGCTATACTGTAGTATTTAAGACATTTTACCAAGAGGAAAATCTACTTTGTAAATTGTCAGATGTGACTGGAAAAGTTTAACATTACTGAAAACTCTTAGGTTTTTCTTTCTTATGAATTTGTTTTTATTAGAATTAATTTCTTGGTGTGTGTGGTAATAGTTCACTGCTCTACAGCAGTGCTTGTCACATTTTATGTTGTCACTGCTTTTTTGTATGTGCCATTCATTGTATCTTCTTTTTTTTTTTTTAATTTTATTTATTTGTGTGTGTGTGTGTGTGTGTGTGGCCAGCTCAACCCACCAGGGGGCGGGGCTGGCTGGCATGTGGTGCTGGGGGATTGAACCACGGTCTCTGTGCTTTGCTAAGCTTGTTCCAAGTAGGTGCTTTAGACCCCTGAGCCATCTCTCCAGCCCCGTATCATTCATTGTATCTTCTAAAACATTATGTATATAATCATTTTGAGAACTGTTTGATTCCCTAGGGAGTATTGTAGCTGTTATTATCTGTGTGTTGGTGTTTGTGCTGTGTCTCTGCTGCCTGCTTTCTAGGGCTTGTAGGGCTTATGTAATGACAACTGTTCTTTCGGCAGTGGTATAAACTCACTACAGCATGTAGGAATAGGGTGTCCAGGACACTCACTTGTCCTGATTGGGGCAGTACTACATCTTAAGTGTGTGCTTCTGGGTTTTTTCCGTGTTGTGTTTTTGATTAAACTTTTTCTCAGACTGATACAAACTTGATTTTCCAGCCTGACCAAGAAGTTGTTACCATACCAGACCTGGGAAGTCTGTCTTCACCTCTGATAGACACAGAGAGGAATCTGGGCCTGCTTCTCGGACTCCATGCTTCCTATTTAGCAGTGAGCACACCGCTGTCTCCTGTCGAGATTGAATGCGCCAGTAAGAAAAGTTTGTTTTCTGCTGACCGATTAACATATTACTTTATTTGGTTGAGCTGCAGGTGTCCTTAAGAGTAGGAGAGGAAGAAGACTCAGCACAGTTGTTGCTGATGAAAATAAACAAGGGTGGTGAAATTCAGCTGATTTGAAATAGCTGTGGACGGTGCTCATCTGCCTCATGCTTCTTGGCTGCAAGGGAGCTGTGTTGTTCAGGGATGTTTGCCTGTAGCCTCATACTCTGCCTTCCAGCAGATGGGCCAGGATGTGTGTTATCTCCCTTTGTGCCCAGTAAATGTGGATTTACAAACCACGTAAAATGTGGATTGCTTCTCTGTCTCTGTCTCTCTGTCTCTGTCTGTCTGTCTGTCTGTCTTTCTGTGTGTGTGTGTGTGTACAGGATCTCACTATGCAGCGCAGACTTGTAGTGATCCTTCTGTTTTCAGCTTCCCTGGCACTGGGATTATAGGTGTGTGCCACCATTCCTGGACTTGGTCGCTGGCTCAGTGGGGATCATAACCCGGTCCCTGTGCTTGCCTAAGCAGGCGCTTAGTCTGCTGAGCTATCTTGCCAGCTCCCCCTTGTGTTTTTTTTTTTAATATCCCTGGACTCATGACCTCTTGCTTGCTAGGCAGGGGCTGTGCCACTGAGCTGAATCCTCAGCCCTTGGTTGTTATTTCTGTACAAGTTCTAATATGTGTATTTTTTTTTTTTTTTTTTTTTTTTGCAGAACCAGGGGTTGAACTCAAGCCCTTGCCTTTACCAGGCAAGCTCTCATTCTACTGAGCTATCTCCCTGGTCCCTTGAAGAGTATGTTTTTACCAGACTAAGATTAGGTACATATTGGGGGGCAGCCTTTGTAACTGTATTAGTAATGACATTTCTCTGTATTCTGTAAAATGAGTTTAGCTGTACCTCTGCTGTTCTCATCTGTGTGTGCATCTGTCTACCCATCAGGTGTTGACTGAGCAATTAGTTGCTTGTGCAGGGCACACAGACGGATAAGACAGGCTGCCATCTTGGCTGCGTATGTGATGATGAGCCAGCACATGAAGCAGATCAAGATACGGGTGATAGATAAGGGCAGCTAGAGGTAGCTCTGGGGGAGACAGCTAGGCAGAGAAGGTAGTGTTGGGACTGGCATGGGGCCTTGTGTACAGAACCACAAGCTGCAGTGGTCCCTGGGTCTCCAGCTCCTTTCAGGGTGGATGCTGGGGAAGGATGGGTGAGGATGGGCTCATGTGAAGGAGAGCCCCCGAAGCAGTTACTTTCTTCTGTACTGTCTTGGGGAGGAGGATGAGTTTCTTTAATATGAGGATGTGGCTGTGGGAGACTCCAATGCAGTGAGAAGGGCAGTGCTCTGTCACTAGGCCACGTTCCTCCCCCGAGTCCCAGTAGTGGTTACTGGCCTAGGGCTGCTCCCCTCTGCCTCAGGTCCTGACTAGATTACAGGCACGCACCTACACACCTGGCTTGGAAGGCTTGCTGACGTCAGACCTAGCTGATCCTATATCTCCTGTCCTATGTAGGTCTCCTTTCTAGTCTGTTGGGTCTCCATCTCTGTGATCTTTCTGTTTTATTTTTTTAATGCTTTTGGTACAAGGTCTCACTCTGTAGCTTGGACTTGTAGCAGATCTCCTATTTTCAGCCTCCCCAGTGCTAGGATTATAGGTGTGAGGCCGGCACAGCTTGTGGTGCTGGGGATTGTGCCTCGGTCCCTGTGCTTGCCTAAGCAGGTGCTTAGTCTGCTAAGCTATTTCACCAGCCATGATAGGGAAGGGTCTACAGGGTGTTCAGGGTCTCACTACTAGATCAGACTCATAGTGATCTGCCTGTTTACAGCCTCCCAAGAGCTGGGATTACAGGCATGCTACTACACCCAGTCTCAGTTGCCATCTCTGCGCGTCCCAGGGGCAGGGCCAGCTCAGGAGGCCCAGGGATCAAACCCCTGGCCCCTGTGCCTGCTTGCAGGCACTTTAATATGCTGAGCTATTTGGTTGGCCCTTGTGATCTTTTCTTTTTAAAGATTATATGTTTCTTGTTAAAAATTCTCTTTCTTGTTACTCCATGAATAGTGTAGGAATATGCAGCGTACCCTGAGGAGGTTCTCTGTAGAAACCCTTCAGGCATGCTGTCCCCTTGATGCATGTGTAGCATTTGGTGTTGTTGTTTTGTGTTGGGGCCATATCACAGTGGAGTCTCCATGTTTTGGGCCCTGCAACCTCTAGTCCTCTGTGGACTACATTGTTCTGGTGAAATTGAATGTTGTTTTCCCTGTGAGAATGTACAGTCTTCCCATGGTTTTATTCTTTTGATTTTTGTTGTCATAACAAAATTCTTTGGGCCGAATAACTTACAAAGGAAAGAGGCTTATTTTGAAAGGTTAAATTTTTTTTTTTTTTTTTTTTTTTGGTGGAACCGGGGATTAAACTCAGACCCTTTCACTTGCCAGGCAAGCACTTATTCTACTGAGGCATCTCCCCGGCCCAAGAGGCTTATTTTGCTCACAGTTTTGCAGATGGAAAATCTGAACAAATGGTCATCAGCCTTGTTGCTTTGTGGTGAATGCCATCATGGTGGAGCACATGGGTGAGACAAAAAATCAGAGAGATGTAGAGCTTGGCTCTAGCTTTTTACAACTTGCTCTCAAGAACCAAGGAGGGTCCTGTCAGTTCCTTCTCACTGAGCGCTCCCTCTTGTCCTGTCTTCACCTGTGCACATCATCACATTGCGGACTAAGCTCCCTACCCATGCGCTCCTGGGAACGCACACAGACCACATCTGTTCTGTTGCACATGGTGTACGAACTAGACAAAGAACAGGTATGCAGTGAGTGTTGGGCTGGAATCACTGCTCTGAGTCCTGATGCTGTGTTTAAAGTATATCAAGTAGTTGAGAAGTGCTGCATGTACTCATGTAGATGAAGGCGTTATAAACCAGCCTGTGTAAATATGTCACATGGGCCTGTTTCCTTTGAATCATGTTGAATTACACCTTTTAAATTAGATTAAAAAAAAAAAAAACCAACAAAAAAAACCAGGGCTGGGGATTTGACTCAGTGGTAGAATGCTTGCCTAGTAAGCTGGAAGCCCTGGGTTCGATCCTCGGCACCAAAAAACAAACAAAAACCAGTGTATTTAGTTCATGGTCTTTTGTATTTATTGTGAAGTGTATATACTCAAGTTTCTCTTTAATGTTTACTTTGCTTTTATTAGAGTGGCTTCAGTTGTCCATTTTCTCTGGAGGTCTGCAGACCAGCCAGATCCACTACAGCTACAATGAGGAGAAAGATGAAGACCACTGTAGCTCTCCTGGGGGCACTCCTGCCAGCAAATCCCGACTTTGCTCTCACAGACGGGCCTTGGGTGACCATTCCCAGGCATTCCTTCAAGCCATTGCTGACAATAACATTCAGGATCACAATGTGAAAGTGAGCCAGGCTTTCTCCCATTCCTAACCTAGTATTTTAGTCTCTGAGGACTTTTATTTTGGTACTGGGAATCAAACTCAGGACCTTGCACTTGCCAGGCAGGTGTTGTGCCACTGAGCTATATTCCTGGCCCTGTCTGAGGACTTTGACATGGGAATATTGTCATGCTTTCGAAAATATAGCACAGACTTTGATTATGCATATTTGGAGGTGAGCAGATGATTCTGTTTCATATACCAGTGAAGTTTTAGAAGTTTGTTGATTACAAGTGAGCTGTGGCACTTTAGGATTTGTGAGTATTCCCTGGATGGCTGTGAAGTTAACCTCCTGGCATTCTGTTGCAGGACTTCCTGTGTCAAATTGAAAGGTACTGTAGGCAGTGCCACTTGACCACACCCATCACCCTCCCTCCTGAGCATCCGGTGGAGGAGGTTGGCCGTTTGCTCTTATGCTGCCTCTTAAAGCATGAAGACTTAGGTATGAAGCTTGAAACACGTGTGTTTCAGTGATATCATAAATCTTTCAGCTGACATGCAGTGCGTATTCATTCCTACTTTACCCTTCTTTTTAAAATGTTTTTTACAGGTCATGTGGCGTTGTCTTTAGTTCACACAGGTGCGCTTGGTATTGAGCAAGTAAAGCACCGAACATTGCCTAAAGCAGTGGTGGATGTTTGTCGAGTTGTCTACCAAGCAAAATGTTCACTCATTAAGGTAGATAGAGTTTAATTCTTCTGTGGTACGGATACAGTTGCCAGACTTTTTTTTTTTTTTTTTTTTTGCAGAACCAGGGATTGAACTCAGGCCCTTGTGCTTGCCAGGCAAGCACTTATTTTACTGAGCCATCTCCCCGACCCCCAGACTATTTGTTGTTTATTTGTCTTTTCCTATTAACTTTGTAGACTCATCAGGAACAAGGCCGTTCTTATAAGGAGGTCTGTGCTCCCGTCATTGAACGTTTGCGGTTCCTCTTTAACGAACTGAGACCTGCTGTTTGCAATGACCTCTCTATAATGTCTAAATTTAAGCTCTTAAGTTCTTTGCCCCGTTGGAGGAGGATAGCTCAGAAGATAATTCGAGAACGGAGGAGAAACAGAGGTAAAAATGTCAGAAGGTCTGTATGGTTCACTGTGTGATTCCAGAGGGAAGCTCTTTGCTGTTGTACACTGTGTGGGGCAGTTCCATGTCGGCGACAGTGTTTAGGTGTGGTAAGGAGGCCTGCTTATTTTCCTAAGAGATCAGACAAAGATGCAATTTGATACTGAATGTGTTATGATTTAGTAACTAGTATATTAGTTCTACAAAAAGTAATACTATAAACGTCACTAAATCAGTGGGGAAAGGAAAGTTTTCTTTTTTATATGTATATTGGAACATTTAACCTTATGATTTAATGCTACTATTGTAAAGAAATTTTTGGATTTCAAAATTTTAAGTATTTCCTAGTTATCATCAAAATTACTTTTATAATCAATGTTTTTTTTCAAACTTAGTTCCCAAGAAGCCAGAGTCTGCTGATGATGAAGAAAAAATTGGAAATGAAGACAGTGATTTAGAGGAAGCTTGTATTTTGGCTCATAGTCCAATAAATGTGGACAAAAGACCTGTAGCAATTAAGTCTCCTAAGGTAAGACGGTTTTGGTGGTTCTGTGATTGGTGGCGTAGAAACACCGCACATAACAAAGGGATCTAGGAAATGGTACCTTTGTGCCAAGCCCCTGCAGGGTAGTGAGTGTGGTAGTTTTTTATTAAAAGTATATTCCCAGTGATGCTTAGTGAACTTGACTAATAGTTTCTGGTTAGAGCAATAGCTGGAGAAAGGTGTGCTTTTTATTTTTGGTACTTCATTGCATCAGTGTATCTTCACTAGTCATTCATTGAAGGTATCCTTTGTTCCAGAACTGTATTGGTGGTCTCTGAGACTGTTCCTATGAAAGATAATTTAGCTTGATGTGCCAAGTTAGTCTATTTTAAAGGGTGTTAATGTAGAGATTATAGATACATTTAAAAGCGTATTTTGTAGCATAATTTGTAACTGTATGTTAGTATATTTAAAATATCCTACCAATTTAAATCTATTTGCATTATTTAATATTCAAGTAACTATATTAGAATACATGTTCTTAGGGTAAACTAATGGTGAAAATTGCTTCTGTTTGTTAGGATAAATGGCAGCCCCTGTTGAGTACAGTTACAGGGGTTCACAAGTACAAGTGGTTGAAGCAGAATGTGCAAGGCCTTTATCCACAGTCTGCACTCCACAGTACAATTGCTGAGTTTGCCCTTAAAGAAGAACCAGTGGATGTAGAAAAAATGAGAAAATGCCTACTAAAACAGGTAAAGTCTTATGGGGAATGCTCTGTGTTGTGTAATGTACCCAACACTGAAGTATATGAATTGATACTTTTCAGCTGGAGAGAGCAGAGGTTCGTCTGGAAGGCATAGATACAATTTTGAAACTGGCAGCCAAAAGTTTCTTACTTCCGTCTGTGCAGTATGCGATGTTTTGTGGATGGCAAAGACTTATTCCTGAGGGAATCGATATAGGGTAAATTTTTTTTCATAGTTATGGGAATCTATGGAGTGTGGCATTGTTCTATTGAAATTAGAAATCTGGTAGCTGGTAATGTTGGTGTGCACTTGTAGACCTAGCTACTTGGGAAGCTGAGTTGTGGGGAGCCACATGGGTCCAGGAGTTAGAGACCTGGCTGGGGTCTTAGTATAGTGATGTCTTTCTCAAAAGGTAGAAACTCTGGCAGCGCTCTCACTGTAATTATTTGTCTTTGTTTGAAAGGGCGCCTCTTACTGATTGCTTAAAGGGTGTTGATTTGATCCCGCCCTTTAATCGGATGCTGCTAGAAGTAACTTTTGGAAAGTTGTGTGCTTGGGCTGTTCAGAATATTCGAAATGTCTTGATGGATGCAAATGCCAAATTTAAAGAACTTGGTAAGTTAAAAGAAATCCCAATGTTGAAAGGGTCTTCTGGTGCCTCAGCCTTGTTTTATAGTTAGGCCTTAATTATAGGTCATAGAACCTTGGAATTGCCAGTTTTTGCTTTTGAACACTTACATATTATATTGATAATCTGAACTGTTTTTAGCCGTCTCTTATTTTAAATAGAACTTTCAAAAATTGGCAAAAGACACAATCTTGAACTTCTAATATAAAAGTTTATATATTTATGAGTGTCACTGATACTGTAATACTCCAAGGTGTAAGTGTCCTGTATTAATACTTACTTCCAGCCTGGTATGGTGGTGCATGCCTATAATCCTAACACTCTGGGATGCTGAGGTAGGAGAACTTTTGAGGCCAGCGTGGGTAGCTTAACAACACAGGCCTTACCTCAGTAATTTTCAGTAAGGCTGGCTGTGGATGTGCATACCTATACTCCCAGCACTCTGGGGACATTGGAGCCTAGCCTGGGTATCTTAGACTCTTTCTAAAAAATTTTTTTAAAAAAATGGTTGGATATTGAGATGCATGCTTATAATCCCAGCATCCTGGGAGGCTGGGGCAGGAGGACTGCAAGTTCCAACCTAGACTGGGCAGTTTTGAAACTCCTGTATTAAAAAAAAAAAAAAAGTGGTGGAGATGTAGCTCAGCTCTGATCTCAATCCTCAATACTGCAAACAACCAAACAACGAATTTCCTGGATAATTTTAGCATCTACAGAGAAATGCTAGCATTGGTTTTGTGGTAGAAAAGTAGATTGTAGCATCATGGAAGAGAAAGGAGGTCCCAAAGACAGAAGATAGCTCTCTGTGAAGTGCAAGTGGTAAGACCTTTGGAAAGCAAGACAGGGCTTCCTACGTTCATAGTTTATTGAAACCCACTAAAAAGCAGAGATGAAAAACCAAGCAAGAACAAAATCCAAAGTCCAGTGTCTTCTGTATTAAGTATATTCTTGTATTATCCATAAACAAAAAATGTAACATACAAGTGTGTGCCAATGCGTGTTAGGTATTCAGCCTGTTCCCCTGCAAACTATTACCAATGGGAACTCGTCGGGACCAAGCCTGGGGACGATTCCACAAGCTCGCTTTCTCCTGGTGATGCTCAGCATGCTCACCTTGCAGCATGGCGCAAACAACCTCGACCTTCTGCTCAACTCTGGCACACTGGCCCTCACACAGACCACACTGCGGCTGATTGGTGGGTTACGCTCATTTTAGTACGAAAATGTCTGATTTTGCCTTGATTTCCCTCTTTCATAATAGAGTTTGATGGTAGCATACAAATAACATAAAAGCCACCTTTTAAGCTGTTTAAATAGCATGCCGTGCTGGCCCCGCCCTTGAGGCGCGCTGAGACAGTGATTGAGAATGTGCATGATGGTGCGTGCCTGTAATCCCAGTGCTTGGGAGGCTGAAACAGGAGGATCCCAAGTCTGATCTGTGTAGTAAGACCCTGTAAACCTTGTACTAAAAATATTTTTTTTAAAAAGCAAAAACAAGAAAATATTTCTTTCTGTTCCATGGGTTTTTTGCGGAACCGGGGATTGAACTCAGGTTCTTGGGCTTGCCAGGCAAGCACTTATTCTACTGAGCTATCTCCCCGGCCCCTCTTTTGTTAATTGTGCTTTTTGTATCATATTCAAGAATCATTACCAAGTCTAAGGCGGGTGAAAATTATCCCTCTGTTTTTTTTCTGTTAAGTTTTATGGTTTTAGATCTTATGTTTAGATCTTTGGTCTATTTTTATATAAATATACTTTATACATTGTGAAGTAAGAGTCTAACATTTTTTTGTTGTCATTGTTTTTCATTTGTTTTAGTACTGTTTGATGAGAAGACTGTTGTTTTGTCCAAGGTCTTGGTATTCAGTTGTCCATTGATACTTCTTTCTGGACTCTGAATTTCATTCTGTTCTGTGCGTCTGTCATTGTGTCAGTACCACACTGTTTTGAATGTTGTAGCTTTGTAGTACAAAAATGTAGTGCAAAAATGAGAAATGTTAAGTCTTTCAGCTTTGGTTTTCCTCTCTTCGTAGTATTTTTACTATTTTGGATCACTTTTGCTGAAGGATGTATTGAACCTGTAGGTTGCTTTGAGGATTATTGCCACCTTGATAAATATTAACTTATATTTTTATTGTTACCGGAAAAATATTGGCCTCACAGGTAATTAGGTCTTCCTAATGATCTGTTTTAAGGGTTTGAAGATTGCTGTTAATTCTTTAAGTTCACCTGTTAAGTCATGTGGAGCTGAGCTTTTCTGGTGAGAGCTTCTTGAACACTGATTCAGTCTGCTGCTTTCAGTGCACTTAGTTTTTCTATTTCTCTTTCAGGGAGTGTGTGTATTTCTGAGGTTTTATCCTGTAGGTAATCTGATTTGTTGTTGCACAGTTGCTCACAGTATTCTTTTATAATCTTTTACTTATGTGTTAATATTAATTGCCCTACTTACAATTCTGATTCTAGTTATTTGCATCTTGTCTTTTTTTTCTCAATTGATATATATCAAACTTGTTTGGCTTTGTTTTTAAAAACCAACGGCTGATCTTCTTAGTGGTTTGAAAGATTGTAGAGGGAAATGTTCTACTTGTCTGGCTGGTACACATCCATTGTTGTTGTTGTTGTTTTTTTTTTTTTTTTTTTTTAACAATTGATTTTGGAACCTTGCGCTTACCGGGCAGGTGCTTATGACGCTGAGCTATATCCTGGCCCCCAACTTCTGATTTTTCTTGCTTCTATTGTTTTTCTGTTCTATATTTTGTTTATCTTTGATCTAATTTCATTTTTCCTACCTTAGGGTATGCCATTTCTGTTTTTGTTTCTCTAGTTGTAGTGTTACTGATTTAGTACGTGTTTTTCTAAGTATAAATGTTTCTTCTGGAACTTTTTTTGCTGCAGTATGTAAGTTTTGAGATACTGTGTTTTCACACATCAAAGTATTTTCTAACTTCCCTTACTGTTCTCTTGATTCACTGGTAGTTTTAAGTGTGTTTGGGTTAATTGCTATATACTTGTGAACATTCCTTCTGTTATTTCTAATCTCATTTTTGTTGGAGAAAGTAAATTTTATGATTTTCTTTATATTATCTTGCTTATGATCCAACGTGGTCTGTTTATTTGAGGAGAATTGTTTGTTCTGTTGTTTTGGGTAATGTTTTATGTGTTTGTTAGATTTCTTTGGCTTACAGTGTTGCTTTTTGGCTAAAAACCAGACACTATACGTGCAGGGGTCCTAGGTTCCACTGAACAAGCAAGGTTTTCTCTTGCTTTTGTAAAATCATAGAGTCCACTTTGACCCCTTTAAAACTGCATCAGGCTGGAGGACATTCAGCCTTCAAGAGTCATATATCTGATATCTTAAGGCCTGATTCACAACTAAGAATTACTTTAAAAATGACAAAAATGTGTTTTCTAGAAACCGCCTGTTTTTATGTTGTCTCTTTTGAAGAGGCACCTATAAGTGGAAGTCATAGCACAAATCATTCATTTGTTGTAGTTTGGTAAGTTAGTGACTTGTGGCCTGCTAACTCATGAGTATGAATGTCAGCTAGCGTACAGGATACCGAAAGCAGAGAATTGTTTCTCGTGAAGATATGTCTATGTTTGCAATTTGCCCTGATCAGAATGACCTATCACTTGAGAGATTACAAGTATATAACGCGTTATGTGTATATCCAGATAGACTATCTTGAAAAGAAGATATTCTTGTTACAAAGCTATCTAAGCTTTGGTTAGTACTCAGCACTTACAGGGTTAATGGTCCACCTGTGAGAGTCTAGTTGGACTGTTGGTCTTTTTTGTTTTTTCCGGAACCGGGCATTGAACTCAGACCCTTGAGCTTGCTAGGGAAGCGCTTATTTCACTGAGCCATCTCCCCGGCTCCCAGGACTGTTGGTCTTGTTCTGTGCTGGGGGCCCTCGGCCAAAGCAGCAGCCACTGTAAAATCTGTTTCCTTCCTAAAGTTTTTCTCCAGTTCTGGAAATTGGTTAACCTTTTTTAAGTCTCTTGAAGAGAAAACAAATGTTTTACATTTTTGGCCTACTAAAGCCCACTTTGAGAACTCTGTTCTCATTTCTTCCTACCTAGAGGAGTAAATGCACAAACAAGCACATGACAAGAGCGACAAGAAGGAGTAAGAGTATTATACTTTGTACCCCTTCGTTTTGCCACTGAAGCCAAAAATAGCCAGAGCATCCAGCAACTTGTGTCGCCTGAGTTAGATTTTACTATTTCAAATCCATTGATACATTTTACTTTGAACTGATAGCAACTCAGTTCCATTCGTATTGTGTGTAACCTCAGAGCCATCATCCAAGCACCAAGTGTCCTGCCCTGCCCTCCTCCTTCAGTTACTAAACTGGTTTTGCAGTGTCTGTTTGGGGTCATTCTAGAGAATCATTCCCCTGCTGCCTCTGTCTCTGAGGTTTCTGAGGCCTGGTTGGCTTGGTGATCTACTGAGAGAGCTCACAGACAGTTGGTGCTACAGTTTATTAACTGAGTGGCACTAGGTAAAGTCCAGAGTCCTCTCCTGGTTGTAGTCACACAAGACACACTCCATTTCCGTAGTGCTGTGGTGTAATGACGCTCGAGAAGCGCTTTATGGGAAGCTTACCAGTGCTTGATGCTGTGGTCCTAACTGGGCTAAGGACCAGCCACGCCCTGCCCGGCACGTGCCGGGTGCAAGCCCACTGAGGAAGCTAGGTTTCAGTGTGGACCACACCGCACAGACAGTTCAGCATCGGGAGTGGTGCTCACCATGCGGGGACCAAAGGAGCCTTCCTGAGGCCCACGTTCCTAGAGCCGGCCGGGGCTGGCCCTCTAGCAGCTGGCAGGCTGTGTCTTCAGCCTGCTCTGGGAGCTGTTTCCTGTGCAAAGGGAGAGCCTGTTACGTGTTTAGATGGCTGTCTGTGCTTTGATCTTGTAACAGATGTGATGTGTGTCTAACCTAGAATTAGCTTGCTCACTTGAGAGCTGTAATTCCAAGAAGTAGAATAAATATCTTTCCTGGGAGCTTTTGTGTCTTTTCATCTTCTGAATGTATTTATATGTTTTGTCCTCCCTGTTCTCTTCCTAAGTCTTAGATATAATGAATAAATTTTCCACAGTATGTGGCGTATACAGTGGTAGAAGTACTTCTTGGCTTGTGTGTATGTGCTATGAGTAGTGCACCATGGCTACTTCTGGCTTAGCTGTTGTTTTGGTGCTCTGACAGGTCCTAGCAGTGACAACATAGAGGAAGATATGAGTGCATCTGCCCGAGGAGCCTCTGCTACGGTTTTGGAGGAAACCAGGAAGGAAACTGCTCCGGTACAACTCCCTGTTGCAGGGCCAGAGCTGGCCGCCATGATGAAGATTGGAACTAGGGTCATGAGAGGGGTGGATTGGAAATGGGGTGATCAGGTACTCAGATTTGATTTACTACATTAACCACACGCTGCTCATGTTCAACACAGCTTGATTTATGTGATATTAGGGAAAATTGGAATTGTTAACTTCTCTTAACTCAGGACCCATATAGTTGGTAGGTGATTAAGTTCTAGGTTCATGAGTAGCTGGTTAGAAGCAGAGCCTACTACAGAGGGCCTCAATGAGAGTCAGGTCGAGGAGGAGTGGCCTGTGGCTCAGTGTGGTGTGGAGGTGGAACTAGAGTGGGAGTGAGCAAGGGTGTGCTGCTGGGTGGGGACCACCCCTTCCCTCAGAGTATGTTGCTTGCAAATCTGTCACTTGGCTGCAGACAAAGGCACCATGGCGTGAGCTCAGTGGGGCCAGTGGTCAACTTGCCATGGTTATGTCACTGTTAAGGGGTTTTGTCACAGTGTTTAGAGGAATTAGGGTGTTTGAGGACAGTAGCAGCATCCTATAAATAGCTTCCTGCCTTCCAAATGGGAGCTGGAGTGAGAGTGATCAGAGCCTGACATTTTGCACATAGGTTTGGGCCTATCTGTACTTGTGAAGTCTGTGTACTGTGATGTAGCCCCTGCCAGGGAGGCTACATCTTAGCATGGGCTAAGGGGCTACTCTTAGTGTGGAAGAGTCTGTGCACACATCTCTGGTGGCTGGATCATGGTGGGCATGGGTAGGACACACCCCTCTTCACTAGGCTTTATTTTGGCTTTTGCAGGATGGGCCTCCCCCAGGCTTGGGCCGTGTGATCGGTGAGCTCGGAGAAGATGGGTGGATTAGGGTCCAGTGGGACACAGGTAGCACCAACTCATACAGGATGGGCAAAGAAGGAAAGTATGACCTCAAACTGGCAGAGCTGCCTGCTTCTGCGCAGCCCTTGGCAGAAGACTCGGACACAGAGGATGACTCTGGTGAGTGAGGGCATCTAAGTCACGGCAGTCTGGTGAGTGACTCAAGGCTGGTGGACTCCTTCTCTGGTCCGGTGTGATCTGCAGGCTCTGTAATCTCTGGTCTGCAGGTTAAATATGTGCCAGCTGATTCCTGTGCTGGTGCAGAGTGGCTTTGGGGACCTTCAACCCCACTGAACTGACTTCCCAAATATACTGTTCAACATTCCCACTCTGCCTTTGGGAGCAAAATGGGAAGACAGAAGTGCTGCCTCACTGTGGGTGTTTGTGTGGTTGGTGCTGCGCCCCTTGCTGAGGGAGCCAGCCCTAGTGGATGCATGCAGCATGCCTCCTTCTCCACCAGTTTTGAAGCCTGCAGGGCTGGACCGCTTGCATTCCTTTGTCTCCTGTTAGGATGTTAAACATAGTGTGGAGTCAACCTTAGGAAACAAGGGAGGATTAAGAGGTGGACCCAGAAAGTCTGACCTGGCCTAAGAAAAGCCAAGGTTGTAAGAGGAGGGCTTCATGACATGTCTTAAACGTGTGTGAGAGACTCCACGGTGAAATGAGTATGTGGATGAAGTGGCATTCTGCTGGCCTCAGCGTATCCGAGAGGCCAGAGCTATCTTGTGGGGCTCTCTGTCCGGTATTAACTGAGTGCCACTAGGCTTGCGAGACTGCTGTTATGTGGAGCAGATAAAACCTGCAGAGATGCTCAGGAGAGTGTGGTAGCATGGAGGGCGGGAGAGGCTGTGTCCCCCTCAGAGGTGGCTCGAGATGGCTGCCTTGGGGACCCTTAGGAGCAAAGCATGTGGTCTGCAGCATGGGGTCTGGCTGTCCGGCCTGTCAGTGCTGACCTCCAGTGTGTGGTCTCGTATCGGCCCCCTCTGCTGCCTGCTCACCTCTTCTAAGCCTGGCTCTGCCTAGAAGCTTTCCTCACTGAGGAGCTGATGCCTGGGCAATGTTGGCTGTGGGACAGAAAGGTGGCCTCCTTGTCTCACAGACAGTTATGCTGGACATGCGAGCGCTGGTCTCCCTGCCCCACAGATACAGGTGATTTACTCATACCCGTGTCCGAGTCTGCTCCTCAGAATCAGCTTGACATCTCGTAAGTTGCCCCTGGGGCCTTGACATTGAGCTTCCAGGTCGTTTGTTTTGAGACAAGGTTTCGTTAAGTTGCTCAGGCTGGCCTTGAACTTGGAGTCCTTCTGCCTGTGCTCCAAAAGTACTGGGACTTCAAGCGTGCAACACTATGGCCAGTTGAAAGCTATTCTAAAGAAGTGAAACCTTGGAATCATTTCAGTGCTTTCGAGGTATAAGCTTACATTATTTAAAAAAATTTTTTTCCCCAAATCTCATTTTTATTTGGAACCAGATGGAAATAGAAATGACCTGAGTAACTGTGCACCTGGAAGGGTCATTTGAGTCAAGGAATGTGGACTGCTCTGGACAGCATGAGGAGTTCTGGTGTCTTAACAACAGGGAGATAGCCAGGATTTCCTTAGTTCTGTCTTTTCTGGATAAGTTTTCCCTTTCCAAAGTGAAAAAGAAGGGTGCAGAATCTGTGTGCTTACGCTTTATTTCACTATGAACCTAAAACTGTAAAAATCGAAGTCTTTAAAATAACATAAGAATGTGACATTAGATCCTGTAAGTGATGTGCAGGCTGCCTTCCGGTTGCATGGCATATATAGCTTTTTACTCCAATTGTCTCTTTCAGAAGCTGAGCAGACTGAAAAGAACACCCACCCTACGGCGGTGATGCTCACTAGCACCATTAACTTGCTGCAGGCCCTGTGCCTCTCCGTGGGCGTGCATGCCGAAGTCATGCAGAGCGAGGCCACCAGGACACTGTGTGGGCTGCTGCGAATGTTAGTGGAAAGCGGAACCACGGACAAGACATGTATGGATGAATAATTGTGGGCCCGGAGTGTCGGTGTTGGGGCTTTGAATGGGCCACACTTGTGTTTATCTGGGCACGTGTGGGTGTGAGTGTGGGTGTAGGTATTAGGTTTCCGTGGCTGCTGTAATAGCTCTGTGAACCACATAGCAAGCAACAGAGTGTCTGGTTCCTCTATGGCCTCCGCGGGAGGACTGTGCCAGGCCTGTCCCCTAATGACTTGTGGCTTGTTGGAGGTCTTTGGCCTTGTGCCACCGTACCTAGTTCACATTTACTTTTTATAACAATACCAGTTAGCCTCAGCCAGACTAATTATATCTGCAGTGAACCTGTTCCCAAGCAAGGTCACATTCTAAGGTATGAGGGTCAGTGCTTCAACATGCAAATTTTGCAAAGACACTGTTCAGTCTACAACTCCAGGTTCAAGCGACAGATTTGTTCTCCTAGAATTCTGGACCCCAGAAGTCTCAAGTCAAGTTGCCAGCAGGGCTGTGCTCTTTTCATAGGCTACAGGCCCGGATCTTCCTCGCATTGCCACTGTCTGGTGGCTGCTGACCTTCCTGGCTGTGGTTGCATCACTACAGTCCCTGATCTGCCTTCACATGGCCGCCTCCTCTGTGTTTCTTTATGTCTTTTGAGCTTATGGAGACTCATTTATTGGATTTTGGGTTCGTCCTAATCCAAAATGATGTCACTTAGTGACTTCTTCAGGTCCCAAACAGGTCATACTCTTGAGATTCAGAGTGAATGCCAGTTTTGGGAGGCATGTACTTTAATCCATTAGGTACTGAGTGTTTTTTTGATGTAGGTATGGGGAATATGAATTGGAGAAGTGGGGTTTGTGTGCGTATATATCTGAGGGTGTGCGGGTGAGTGCTAGGGTGGATCTGAGGAAAGTGTGAGTGTCTGTCAGTGTGGGCATGTGTATTCAAAGTGCGTATGGTTGTGTGAGCATGTGTGTTAATGTTGTGTGAGTGTGTTGTGTGCGTAGAGATCAGTGTGTTATAAATGTCAATGCTGATGATCAGTGGGTGAGTTTGTGGGGAGTAGGAGAGTGTGTTTCAGTATGTCAGTGTGATTGTTATAGACGGGAATGGGTGTATGCGAGCGTCCACACTTGTGGATATAATCATGTCAGTTGAAGTGTTACAGTGTGTGAGTGTGCACCTGTGTCCATGTATCAGTTAAGTGTGAGTATGAGTGTGTGACGGTGGTTTGAGATTGTGAGGGCGTGAGATTTGTCTGAGTGTGCAGGAATAACTGAGGGTGTTTGAATTACTGTGGGAATGTAATTAAGACTAAGTGTAAAGAAGTAAGCGTGTATCGGGTTAGTGCGTGTGAGTGAGGGTGTAGTTGTGTGAATGTCTTGATTATGTACATGGAATATGCGTGTATCAGTGTGACAACACAGATGTTATGTTTGTGCTCCAGTGTGAAAGTGTGAAGTGGTATGGCATGATTGGAGTGTGTCACTGAGCAAGAAGGAGGCTGTGTATGATAGCATTGCAAGAGTGAGGTGAGACTGTGAGCTCCCGTGTGTGAGTGGGTTTGCATGGTGGTGAATGTCTGCAGCTGCATAGGTGTCTGTGTGTTAGTCTGAATAGTTATCGTGTAAGTGAGCTCTGGGAATGTGTGGCGGGAGCGAGGGCACGTGAGTGACGAGTGTGTCTCGGCGACTGTGTGGGTCAGCCTGGCTGGGTGTGTGCCTGTGCTGGAGCCGTGAGCCTGGGTGTGGAGGGCTGCCAGGCCTCTTGGCCTGGGGAGGGAGAGAGGGGCTGCAGCCTGAGTGACCATTAGTGGGCGAGGGGCCGATGCGGCCCGAGTCCTGCCGAATCACTTTGTGTGAACAACAGAAACCTCATACTTGGTGTGTCAGTTCAGAGTTCTCAAACATGGATGGAAATTTACAGTGTTGATGAAACATAATTTAGATCATGGGGATATGTAAAACACATGAGATTTAAAAAATAGAGCTGGGGGCTGGGGATTTAGCTCAGTGAACAGCACCTTCCTGGCAGACTCAAGTTCCTAAGTTTGATTCCAGGTACCAATTACGGGTCATTTTTGTATTGCCTAGAGACCACAAGTACATGAGAGGCAGTAATGGAGCTTGAGCTACTGTGTGTACTTCAGAGGCTTAAAGATGCTGTAATTATTTCCTGAGCCAGCTTAAAAGCCATCTCCTGCTAATTTCACACTGTGTATGTCCCATTGCAGTAAATTTGTAACGAAGCTTAATGTTGAAAATAAAAATAATATCTTAATTAAAAGTAAGGATTATATGCACCCAATTACTTCTCGGGGCTTGGTGCCGACCAGGTTTGTCTTTTCTTGGCAGCTTCTCCCAGCAGGCTGGTGTGCAGGGAGCAGCACCGAAGCTGGTGCACGCTGGGATTCGTGCGGAGCATCGCGCTTACCCCGCAGGTGTGCGGGGCCCTCAGCTCCCCGCAGTGGATCTCACTGCTCATGAAGGTTGTGGAAGGGCACGCGCCTTTCACTGCAGCATCACTGCAGAGACAGGTAATGTGCAGCCAGGCGACACCTGGTCCACTCAGCACCTACACAGCAGCACTCCCAGTCCTTGAAACATGTGCCTTTATTCAGGAGTGAACGTAGGGTACAGCAAGAAGTTGTGTGCAGTTGCTCTCCTGCAGAAAAGTGGGAAATGCTCGTGGTGGTGACTGTGTAGTTACCAGCTGGTCCACTTGCCTTCCTACTAAGTGATTCACTTCTGCGTGTGTTCTCCTCTGGCTCACCAACAGGGTGGTATGATAGTGTTCAGAAGAATTAATTAAAAAAAAACTATGTTTAAATTAAATACATGCATTTATCATGTCACTTTAAAAAATGGTGATTCTTATTAATTGATTAAATGTCAATTTCACATGATTAATTGTGGTATGGGGAAAAATGATAAGAAAAATCTGCAAACTTAATCTGTCAGGTAATGACTTTCTCTAAAGCATGTCGCATCTCTTTGACCAGATTTTAGCTGTGCACCTACTGCAGGCGGTCCTTCCATCATGGGATAAGATGGACAGGGCAAGGGACATGAAGTGCCTCGTTGAGAAGCTGGCTGGCTTCTTGGGCAGTTTGCTTGCCACTTGCCCTTCTGATATCCCATTACTCAGAGGTGGGTGGCTTTCTTCTTACTGTGGCTCCTGGTAAGGGGTGGTGCGCAGTGCAACTTCTCCGATTTGTCCCCAGAGTCAACGCTGAGGCGGCGGCGGGCCCGGCCACAGGCCTCTCTCACTGCCACACACAGCAGCACGCTGGCTGAGGAGGTGGTGGCGCTGCTGCGCACCCTGCACTCGCTGGCGCAGTGGAACGGACTCATCAACAAGTACATCAACTCCCAGCTCTGCTCTGTCACCCTCAGCTCCATGGGGAAGCTGTCAGAGGGGGTGCGTGCACAGTTTCAAATGAACTTAATCGTTCTTCTGGGGGTGGTACTGGGGATCGAATCAGGGCCTTTGGCCTTGCACTAAGCAACATCCTCAGACCTTGTGTAGTTTTGATTTTGAGACAGTGTCTCACTGAGTTGCTGAGCTGCCCAGTCTGGGCTCCAGCTTGCAGTTTTCATACCGTAGCCTCTCAGTGCAGGATTTTAGGCATATGTCACCACACCCAGGAGGCCTGGTTATTATTTGTGGAGTGTGAATTTGACTTTCAAATTATCTACCTAAAAACTGTGCATTTTACTTAAGGACATGTAAAATCTTTTTAATGGAAATAATTATTGAAGAAATTAATATGAAAATTAATTTGGAAGCTTGTATCTGTAATCTCAGCTACTTGGGAGACAGGAGGATCACCTGAGCCCAGGAGCACAGGGCCAATTTGGGCAGCGTAGTGAGAGTCTGTTTCCTAAAGAAATGACAAGGATTACATTTTGTTGTGAATTTGTAAGAGGGGCAGCTCTGTGGGCATCCCTTTTTAAATTTACTGTTTGATGTCTACACTAGGCCCAGTTAGAGGACTACTTTCCTGACTCTGAGAACCCTGAAGTGGGGGGCCTCATGGCAGTCCTGGCTGTGATTGGAGGCATCGATGGTCGCCTGCGCCTTGGGGGTCAGGTCATGCATGAGGAGTTTGGAGAGGGCACCGTGACTCGCATCACCCCGAAGGGCAGAATCACCGTGCAGTTCTCTGACATGCGAATGTGCCGAGTTTGCCCACTGAATCAGCTGAAACCAGTAGGTGGCCTGAGCAGTGACATTGGTTCTAGAGCTGGCTTCTGCCATAGAACCTGAAAAGAGCTGCGCTGCTCAGTGGCCTTCCAGAACGCTACTTGTTTCTGCCTGTTGGCCGTGTTCCTTGTCTCACAGGGAAGGCAGGACAGTGGTTCACATGTTGTCTTTTAGCCTCAAAGATCAAAGGACATCAGCACTCTGTAAGCCAGTATTAAGTATTTTTAAAAATGAAGTTATTAAACTTTTTATTAAAAGCTCAATTTTGAAAACCTTAAAATGATTCTATTCACATTCATGAAAAGACTTACTTAGCAGATGCTGTGAGTTAGGGATGCATAAGGAAGATGAGTGATTTGAATTATTTTGATGTAACCCAGAAGCAGTTTTACTGTATCTTTTTGTAAAATCCTGTTGTGGGTTGTTATAGGAGTATATATTACAGAATATTTGAAATGTGTAGAACATACCTAACGAGACAGACTACCATGCTGATGTAATTATTGACTAGTAAAGAAAAAGTTGATAAATTTTTGTATACATGCCTTTATCTCGCCACTAATGTGGTATTTTACAGTTGTTCTCAGACATGAAGTGACTGGGAGTACTGTGGTATTTCAGAGTTAAGATTCAGTGCTTCATATTTTAGTCTCCCTGGTCATGCTGTGACAGCTTTGTGTTCTCCCTGCAGCTCCCTGCTGTGGCCTTCAGTGTGACCAACCTGCCCTTCACAGAGCCCATGCTGTCTGTCTGGGCTCAGTTGGTGAACCTTGCTGGAAGCAAACTGCAAAAGCACAAGATAAAGAAATCCCCTAAGCAGGCCTTTGCAGGTCAGTGCATGATGGTGAGGGGAGAGCTGCAGTCCTAACCTAGCAACATCTGGACAGTGTTTGCTTTTCATCATTTGTTGAACTGAGTTGGAACATAACCTGTGTGTGGTGATTAGAGTGTTTTTGAGTCAGTCTGTGATGTGTTTGGAACCTAATCCAGAGAGCTCATCTGAGGCTTACCCTTCTCTCATTTGTTCTGGGCAAGCTTTTATTTTTATTTATTTATTTATTTTTAATTTTATTTATTTGTGTGTGTGTGTGTGTGTGTGTGTG